AGACTCTTAGCAGGAGTAGAGGCATAGCCTGAGCTGGCTATCTCCTATGATTGGATTGGTGACCACCCTGGGTGTCATCAGAGAGCCTTCATCCAGTGACTCGTGGAGGCAGATTCAGAGAGCCACAGACAAACATTGGGCCATGCTGAGGAGAGAGAGGAGGGAATGTAGAAAACAGGGGGTCAGGAGCATGGTAGGAAAACCCACAGAAACCACTAGCCTGGTTCATGGGAACTCGCAGAGTCTGAACCAACAACAAGGGAGCCTGCATGGGACTGACTCAGGTAGGCCCTCTGCGTACGTAACAGTTGTGTAGCTTGGTCTACTGTGGGACTCCCAGCAATGGAATCAGGGGCTACTCCTGGTGCTTTGACTGGCTCTTGGGAACCTATTCCTCGTGCTGGGTTGCCTTGCCCAGCCCGAATACAAGGGGAGGTGCTCAGTCTTATGGCAGCCTGATATGCTATGCTTTGCTGAAGCCCATGGGAGGCCTGCCCCTTTCTGAGAGATTTTGGAGGAGGGGTAAATTGAGGGGGGAGGAAGTGGGAGAAGAGGAGGGAGGGGAGGCTGTGGTCAGCATGTAAAATAAATTAATTTTTAAAGAAAGGAATAAGGATGGGGGCTGGAGAGACGGCTCAGCGGGTGGAGGTGCTTGAGCACCGTCTATGACCTGAATTCCAGTGGAATGAGGATGAGCAAGAAGAGACTGAGAAACTGCCTTGGCGGTTCCTGACTACAAGCGGTCAGCTCTTGGCTTTGCTATCTGCATCTGTGTACCTGTAAGACTCATCTCTCCCCACCCACAAAAAAAACAGCCTGGAGCAGCCACAGCTGGAGAGAAGCCTCAGCAGGCAAAGACGCCAGCTGCTGCACAAGCCGGCAACCTGAGTTCGGTCCCTGGAATCCACATAAATAGGAGGAGAGAACCAACTCCATGAAGCTGTTCTCAGGAGCATTGTGGCGAGAAAATATTCTTGCGCATGTACAAATACGAGCCTTGGATCCCCCACAAAGGACATTCTGTGATGTGACTTCTATCAATAGGAGGAGGATGACCCTGATCAGGTGACTGGGGCAGGGGGTAGCAAAAATGAAATAATGTGAGTGAAATGGATTGCATAACACCTATCATGAGGGATGCTCTTGACTCCACCCCAGTCACTACCCTGGCTCTTGTCTTACATCCTAAGGTTACATTTAGATTGTTCAGTCTCCCAAGCCAGTAGGATTCCATGCTAGCATCACACGATGAGAAACATCTAGATGAGGTCTGAGGGATGGCAGAGATACAGAAGCATCCTTAATTCCACCCCAGTAAAGGAAGGAGTGGATGAAATGTGGTGGAATCCCGTGCCCGATATCACAGCGGATTCTTACTCCTGCCTAGCTTTCCTTCACCTCTTATTTTGTCCCTCCAGGCCCTTGAACACATTCAGAGCCAGATTTCCTGTATGACGCCCTCTGTTTGACACGCCCTGAGTAATGTCCATCTCACTAAGTCAACACAAGGCTGAACAGTCGAAGGGAGGAGGAGCTGAAGCATCTGGCCATGACAGCATCTGCTCTGGAGGGGAGCTCACGAAGCCACCTGATTTGAAGATTCTTGTAGCATCTAACGGAGACAAAGGCTTCCAGTAACTTCTGACTTTGAAAAATTAACTATGCACCTTGTGTCTAGTGAGGTAATCGTTAAAATAAGGAAATTTTTAAATGAGGAATTAATTTTTTGGCAAATACAATTATCCCAAAAGGAGGGGAAGGAGAAACACAAATGAGACAGGCAGGGACAAAATGACAGCAAACTGAGCTGGAATTTAAATCCAATCTGTGTTGTACTGAGTATATAATTATTCTAGTCAAAGATTATCGGCATGACTTAAAAGTAAATATCAAACTGCATGCTTTATATAAATGATATGTAAAAATACACAAAGGGACTGGGGACTGACACGGTTCAGTGGGCAAAACATTTGCCTTAAAAATCTGACGACCTGAGTTCGAATCCCAGACCACATAAAAGCCCAACCTAGCAGTGTCTGTAAATCTCGGCACATTTCTGCCAGCAGATGGGAGGGAAGGGGAGACAAGACAGTAGAGTCACCGGAAGCCCCGGGTCAGCAAGCCTGGAGTATACAGCAGTGAACAAGACAGACCCTGTCTCAAATGAGGTGGAAAAAGGAATGACACTCAAGTGTATCGTGTGTATCCTATGACCTCCACACACATGCTGCAATGTGGAACATACATACTCACATGCACACACACTCACATATACACACTCATGTACATACACAAAGACATAAAAATGAATGAATAGCAAATGATAGAAAACAGTGACACACATAAACCTTGAACAAAGAAAGTCTATGTGTAGTATGCTCATTAGCATATTTATTTTATCACTATGTAGCTCTAGCTAGCTTGGAACTCAAACTTACAAAGATCTGCCTGTCTCTATCTCCTGAGATCTGGGATTAAAAGTGTGTACCACCACACCTGGTTATATTAATTTTACTACTCTCAGACATAAATACTAAAGCAAAAAAATTATAGAGGGTCACTTCATAACAGTAAAGGATTTAATTTATCTATAAAACAATTAATTATAGCCAGACAGTGGTGGTGCACGCCTTTAATCTCAGCACTGGGTAGGCAGAGGCAGGCAGATCTCTGTGAGTTCACATACACAGACACAGAGAGAGAGAGAGAGAGAGAGAGAGAGAGAGAGAGAGAGAGAGAGAGAGAGAGAGAGAGAGAGAGAGAAGCAAACACCCACTCCAATAACTGCAACTTTAAAAAATTGAAATGAGCCAGGCGTTGGTGGTGCACGCCGTTAATCCCAGCACTCAGGAGGCAGAGGCTAGAGAGTTGGCTCAGTAGGTGAGGGCACTTGTCGCCAAGTCTGACAACCTGACTTCAATTCTGGGAATTTACACGGTGGGATGAGAGACTGGATTGCTGCAGGTCTCCTGATTTCCACACAGGAAAATGTATGGGGATGCAGCCTGCCCCAAGAACATAGAGAGTTCTCAAACTTCAAGGAAAATAAAGTCAGTTAAAAAGGCTAGGTGGAATGCTACATCCCTACAATGCCAGCACTCGGGAAGCTGAGGCAGGAGGATCATAGCTTGAGGCCACCCTGCTTCATAGTGTGTGGTGAGACTTTGCCTTAAAACAAAAATGGGTGGGAGCAGGGGAGATGAGTCGATGGGAGTGAGTTACAGATCTGAAAGAAGATATGAGTGGAGTTGAAGTTCAGTGTCACTGTGGAGAGTAGGCTGTGTGCGCTGTGGAGGAGGGACTACAATTCCCACTACACAGTCCCACTGCTGGCTACATTCATCTTCATTGAAGAGTACACACATATGTCAAAATGCACTAAATAGCAAGCTTCAAGTCTATGCTATATGCTGTAAGTCAATCATGGCTCATTAGAGCTGTTTTTACAAAGACTCCAGTAAAAGCAGAAACATACCATATTTGTTGGCTGGTAAACTCAAGAGGCAGCTCAGTTTGATTTACAGACTGAAGGCTGTCCCAGTAAAGTAAAAACCTCAGCTGTTTCCCTCTTTCTCGGTGGACCTTGATGAGCTCTTCCTAAAATATGTGGGAAAATGCAAAGGATGAGAATAGACAGACACTCGATTCTCCCCTAACAGGTCGGAGAATTTGGTTGGTAAAACAAAGTTATTATAAATCTGTAGTATGCTGTTCTCAGGAACAGGCCAGTGAACAACCAGACAGAGGGGAATCCAGAAGTAATCCTGCTTGTTTGGACACTTGGCATGTGACAGGCACGTATAAGGCAGAGGGTAAGGGCAGGATCTGAGATAAACAGCACTGGCACAGGCAAGCATTTGTGCAAGGGAATATGTGAGGGGTGGAAGAGGTCACCTGATGTCCTCCCGCCTCGGTACACACACATGGTGAGGGGGTACACTCACCTACCCACACTCACGTGCACACACACATAAAATGAAGCTTCTTTTAAAAAAATGGAAGTGAGGCATAGTGATACACATCTGTAATCCCAGTAGTTGGGAGGCAGAGGAAGGTGGATCTCTGGTTTACTAGAGAGTTCCAGGACAGCCAAGGCTACAGAGAGAGACTGCCTCCACAAGAAAAGAAAATAAACGGAATGCAGGGCTGGAGAGATGGCCCAGTGGTTAAGAGCACTCGCTGCTGTTGCAGAGGACCCAAGTTTGATTCTTAGTGTCCACAACCATCTGTAGCTCCAGTTCCAGGTGGCTCAAATACCGTCTTCTGGCCTCAACAGGCATCAGGCATGCCATGGTGCACAGACATACATGCAGGCAAAACACAATATACACACAATAAAATAATAATTACAAAATCGTGTATGTTTTTCGAAGACAAAATGCTATACAGAAGATAAACCAGCATATAGCCAGTATATCGAACAACATGGATAAAGCTTATAAATATGTTGTCACACAATGACTATAAATACAGTACTTATTATATTTGGACTTTTTGAATGTGTACATGAGTGGGCATGGTGACTCCCACCTGTAATCCCAGCACTTGGAAGACTGAGGTAGGAGGATTGCAAGTTAGATGCCAGGCTGAGCTACACAGTGAGCCTTTGTCTCAAGAAAAGAAAAAGAAAAGGTGTGTGTGCGTCTCTGCACACTGGGAAGGTTCCCACAGCCCAGGTGGACTGGCTGTCTGATACCTTCCCACCGATTGGATCACCTGCCCGGACTGTGTGATGCGATGGTGGGCCCATGCTTTTGTCTCCGTTCTCCGATCTTCCCTCCTGTTGGACCAGCCTTCCCACGCAGGCCCAGCACTGCTTTCTAAGCATTACTCTTCTCCCTGGCCAAGCACTGCCCTGAGCCCCACGCTGACACCCAGGCCCTATTTAAGCCTCCTCCCTTGTTCCAGCACTGGCTACCAGCTTGGACCTCCACCTTGCTAATGGCTTCCCAGCCCCACTAGGTCTGACACATGTACTGGAGGCAAATAACAGTGATTAATTAATAATACTTAATTTTTATTTTAAGCAATTAATAACAATTAAAATAATAAAGTACAGTTCCTTTAAGAAGCCAGCAGCATGACGTTGGGGAGAGACAGCTGTTACAGACACATGTGTGAGATCCCGTTTGAAACTCATGACAGAAATAGCCTAGCAGAGGCAAACTTTGCATCTAGATACTTGGATGCTGGGAAGGGTCAGACATGTGCACAGATGACAGCTAGTGCAGAACATGCTTGGCATGTAAGGTCGTGTAAACACATGGAGGACCAGGTCAGAGAAGGACCCTTGGGACCTGTCCCCAAACCACTCCGCCAGGGAGAGGCACAGCCTCACACAACCACTGAGGGAGCATAACGGTGTGGGATACCAGGGAAGCAGGGTGAAAACTCTCAGGGGGTTGCTCGGGAGTGCCGCCTCCCTCCCCCATCCTGCACACCCAAGGCTATATCCTCAATCTGCGGCAGTAGGCCCACCACAGCCCATAAATATTTTTCTATTGACTTTTGTTTTAGTCTTTAACAGTATCCTATGAACTATTTCAATAAACAGTGTGAGGCCGAGAAGCGAAGACCCCGAGCACCAAATAAATCTTTGACAGGTGAATATGAGGTCCCGCCAACTCTGCCTGGGGCTGCAGTGAGGAAGCTGGGACACTGATGCGCTGCAGTGCACAGAGCAGCGTGGATGTGGCCACTGGGACTCCGCCAGCATCTCCAGCTGAGTGGAAAGGGAAGGAAGTTTCCAAGACAGAAAGCAAGGCCAGCTGGAGGGAGAGGGAGAAAGAGGGATGAAACTCAGCCAGTCTGAGGTCATGGCCTCAGAGGCCCTCAGTCCTCCCCTGCTGTGGTGTGACACTTGATGGCTGGGTTCAGCCTCGGGCTCTCACCAGTCACCAGTCCCTAGCTGGTCATTCTAATTCGATTCTCTGCCTGTAACTAGAAGACAGAAGCAGTGCTGGCCATGCAAGGCTGGGGTCGGCATTGAAAGAGATCGATCATGAGCAGCTGAGGATCTTGTTCACCTGGGAGAGTGTTTGCCTAGCATGCAGGAAGCCCTGGAGTTTGATAGCCACACTGCACAAAACTGAGCTCGGTGGTGTGCAGCCATAATCCCAGCGCCTGGGAGATAGGGGCAAGAGGATCAGAAACCCAGGGGTGTGGTGGGCAACTTGGCAAGTTTGAGGCCAGCCTGAGCTACATGAAACCCCTCCCCTCCCACTCTCCTCCAGACCTTTCCCACACACAAGGCAGGGGGAATATTCACATAAAGTCACTTGACACCAGTTTGCAAAATCTCACACTCTGCATGATTTTATAAGCAGGGGGTTTTTTGGGGGGGAAGGGGGCTCTGAGAACTGCCCGTCCCCCAAAGATACCACATAATCTAGAAAAGTTTATTATGACCCAATTCCTCTCATCAACCACCCACTCCCCACTCTCCCAAAGCAGATGAAGTTCTAGGAAAATACGCTACCACAGACTATGAACTCGGTGAAGCTGCCCGTTGTGTACAGTGGTCCTGGAATGCCGGAGATCAGTAGTCAGCCCCTGGGAGGAGATCAAAGCACAGAGCAGGGGCAAGGATCAGGGACAGAGCCTGGTTCCCAGTCTCTGGGGCCTTGGGCAGGGTACCCAGTCTCTGTTGGAGCTTCCAGCTGCTCATTCATAGTGGCTGTGAGCAAACCATCATCAGGATTATTGGGGAAAGCAAACAAGACAGCCAAGATGAAGACTATATGCAGCAGGTGCAGCCTGGCCTCGAGGAACAAAGAGAGAGAGGCCTTGATGAAGACACAGACAAGACTTGGTTTAACAGGAACCTCGGGCAGGCCGTTTCTCCGAAGGCTCTAACGCATAAGGTGTTTAATGGCAATAATACTTTCAAAGAGTCCTGTTTTCCTAAGCAGTGTTTTTTTTCTTACACTGTACCCCAGGCTGGTATGGATGTCATGATGTAGCCCAGGCTGACTTGCACGCACTGTGCAGCTGAGCTTGTGGCAGTCCGTCAGAGATACTGGGATTGCAGGTGTAGGTCACTACCCTCTTCTTATAAGCACGTGTACATGCAGGGTCTTACTGCAGCCTCTGAGGCTTGGACAGAAAGAGAATCGCTTGAGGTCACAGTGTAATGACAAATCGGACACTAACTTTGCATGTCACAGTCTCCTCTCTTTCTCACTCGTTCACCTAGGGGTTGGGGCTTTCGAGGTCTGCAACTCCAGGGGAATTCAATACCTCTGCTTCCACAGGAATCTGCATTCACACACATGTACACGTGTACACACAAACACACTATAATTAAATATTAAAGCAAACAAACGATGCACTACCACATAGACCATCGAACAAGAATACCATACAAGCTTCCTTGATTACAGCTGACCCTTCAGGCAGCCAGAATGGACACACACCAGCCCATCCTCATATGCCAGCTACAGCTGCAGCAACCGCAAGTCAGGGAGGTTGTCAAGGAAACCGGTTCTCACTGTTCAACTGTCCAGAGCCCAGTGAATGAGATCCCAGAAACAGATGGCATGAGTCATTCACTCACTCACTCACTCACTCACTCACTCACTCACTCACTCACTCACTCAGTCCTTCTGCCTCCATGTGAATACTCTATGTGAGTACTTGGGGAGTACTTCAACTTGGGGAGATAGGTGGGCAACACAGAGGCTACATCTTTCCTCTGAGGATCAGGGGACCCTAGGACCTTGGAACAAAGAGGCCAGGACATGAAAGGCTTCCTGTCTGTAAGGAAGGCCTGCTGGAAGTGGTGTCTTCCAACTCATTACTCTGATCATGACGGGGCAGACAGCCTGTGTGTCCCCATGCCTAGAAAGCCATCTTGTGCTGTCCACTTCCTCTAAGCCTCAATGGTCAAACTGGCTAGACACTGTTAATGGGCCAGGTTGAAGTCAGAACCTCAACCCAACAGGAAGCAGGCTTATGATCATTGTATCCCTGCCACCATCTCCGTGTGACCTGGAGCTATGCAACACACTCCTAAAAGGTTACTTCCTCATCTCTCCCATAGGCTGGACCTTGTACGACCAGGGAGAGTTGCTGGTGCCTTTGTCAACCAATGTCTTTCAAGCCATGAGTCTGAAAGTAAAGGATGACCAGTCAGGGCCTCCCCGAGGCTCCCAGGGTCTTCCCATAGTAGAGGTCTGAGAGAGAGTCTGCAGCCAGAGGCAGCTGACGAGTTAATTCTTAAGCCTGTCAGCCCGTGGGGAGTGGAGGCAGAGCAGAGGGCAGGCCTAGAGACCTCTTTTGGAAATGACAAGATCATTTAGCAATCAATTAGTGTGGTCCCCAGGCTCAGGGCCTGCACGCCTGCCTGCTAGCAGAAAGAATGCGCTTTCTACACTGACTGGAAACAGATGCGCTGGTGAACAGGGCTGGTCAGGCCGGGCCTGAATTCCTGGGCACCAGGCTGCTGGTTGGGAGGTCAGGATTTGTTATAACATTCTGGGCACCAGCCTAGGGAGGGAGGTCCAGGCAACCTAGCTACAAGAACAGCCAGCCTGGGGAACGTGGGCCTTCCAAGAGACCCAGGCACAGAGGAGGGAGGGATGTTGACTTTGTCAGCAGTAATCTAGGATAAAATTAGTTCAGCCAAATACAGACTATGACTTTTGACCAACAGATGCCTAGATTCCAAACGTGTGGCTGGTGAGGCGTGAGGAAATGACAGAACGGGTTGCTGAGCATAGAGCAAGGGACCCCGGAATCACCCCTGCTTTAAAACAACGTGGGCCCCATCTCCTAGGCTTAGGCTGGGAGGAAGGCCCACCACCAAGCCCTTTCTGTGTATCTATCTACTTTACAGATGAGAAAACAGAGGCAGAGAGGGGTGGAACAAGTCACTGAAAGTCACCCGCTACATGTGGAATCCAGTGTTTGAACCTGTTTTTAGACTCTGTCAGCCTCGTGATGGGCGGCTGGGTCCCTCTTCTTCTAACTCTCTCCTAGCCCCTTAACAAACGGAAAGGGAAGACTGAGTCCCTAGACTCCAGCCTCACAACTCTGAAAGAGAGCTCACTAGTGTCCCCAGTGGGGCTCGGCAGCCTTTGTCAAACCCTGCCACTGACAGGTGGTCTCATGAACTCCCCAGGCCCCCAGGTCTAAGCTCACACATAGACAGCCACTGTTCCTTTCTGTGAGGATTGAAGTTAGGTGCCTGCAGGTTTGGGGCTTCCCCAGGATTCCTGCTACTCCCCACTGGGTTCCCTTTCCATTGGGTACTCTCAGGGTGTCACGGTGACCCCATCATTATTCCTTGAAGCAATAGAGCCTCTGAACAGATTCTCTGAGGACTCAGCTCTGGGGACCTTGGGCTGCCACCAACTCCCTTCTCTGGACCCAGTCCAGCCCATTCTTGGGATATGGGAGTCAGCTGGGCCTCTCATTTCCCTTAGCACAAGATGGAATAGCCTTTAAGGCAGGGTTTAAGACAGTTTGCCACTGTAAGGGTGATACAGGCCCACCACGGGAAGAGTGAGCAACGTAGAACCCTGAGAGCGGAAAGCCTCCCACTGGGCCCTCCAGCCTCTTCTGCTATGCTTAGCTTTACCTCATTTCATTCCTCCTGTCTCACACCATGCTCTGCTTTTTCCAGAATAGCAATAAGGAGCTTACTGTTATTACAGAGTGATATCTCAGAGCCACCCAGCATTCTGGGAAATGGCTGTAATTCCTTATCTGCTTGCTTTGTTTGGAACATTACTACAAATGCAGTTTTCCTTACTATAGAATCCTAGTTTTTTTCAGGGAATCTACAAGATGTCACCTACATTCTAGGAGATGGGACCTACACTTTTTTTTCTTTTTTCTCTTTTGTTTTTGTTTTTGTTTGTTACTTGTTTGTTTGTTTTGAGATAGGGTCTCATATAGCCCAGCCTGACTGGCCTCCACCTCCTTATGTAGGTGAAGCTGGATTTGAGCTCCTGATTCTCCCATGGGACCATGTTTCTAATTCCTCATGTGATGTTTAATGTTGATTGTCAGCTCAGGGGGTTCTAGAGCAGTGGTTCTCAACCTTCCTCACGCTGTGACCCTGTAATACAGTCCCTCATGTTGTGGTGACCCCCAACCATAAAATTATTTTCATTGCTACTTCTTAACTGCAATCTTGCTAGTGTTATGAATAGTAATTTAAACATCTGTGTTTTCTGATGGCCTTAGGTGACCCCTGTGAAAGGACCATTTGAGTCCCCAAAGGAGTCTTCACCCACAGGTTGAGAACCTCTGGACATGTATGCAAGGTAGGGTCTAGATCGGGTTGATTACCCTAAATGTGGGTGGCACTATCCCATGGGCTGGGGTCCTGCAATGTAAAAAACTGAGCTGAGCACCAGCCTTCCTCTCCTTGCTTCCTGACTGAAGATGCAGAGTGTCCTGACATCATTCCTAGTCCACCGTAATAGACTATAGCCTCAAACTGTGGGACAAAACAAACACTGTCTTAAGTTACTTTTCTTGGGTATTTTGTCACAGTAACCAGAACAGTAAGGAATACATCTCAAAATAATATCAAGCCACTCACACTCCTGGTAGCCGCACACAGTCCCACATTAGCAGGTAAGAGTTGTGCTTGCCACTAACAAGCAGACTGTGTTAGGACTTTGATTTTGTAACCAGAAGGACCTCCAGTTTTTCATCCAGGATTCATGTGATCACCCTGTCCCAACCACAAGCCAAAAGCTGAACAAATGTAAAAAGGCAACTCTTTTTGATTTTCAGAGAAGTGATGTCATAGGACAAGTGGCAGCTCCCCAGACTAGAGAGACAGACGGGTTCAGAGTCGTCACTTAACCCATGTGCAGACATTCCTGCAAAACCCAGTCCTGGGGCAGGACAAGATGAAGAATACTGGATTCTTGTTGCAGGTTCAGTGGGGATGAGTCTGAAGATGGAGACCCCAGGGGAAGTGGTCAGTGGAAAAGCCCTCATACTTCTATACTTTTACCTACAGCAAGTTCTCATAGGGGAAATCCCTTTGTGCTTCCAGGAGGGGGAGAAGGAAAGTGGCCACTGTGAAATATGCCAGAAGGGGCCTGGAGACTAACCTCAGCAATTAAGAGCACTGGCTGCTCTTGCTGAGGACCCAGGTTCAGTCCCCGGTACCCATATGGTGACTCACAACTTCCTGTAACTCTAAATCCCAAAGATCTGATGCTCTTTCCTGTACACACACACACACACACACACACACACACACACAAATTTTATACATACATACATACATACATTTAAGCCAGGCATAGTGGCATACACCCTTGATTCCAGTAGTTGGGAGGCAGAGGCAGGCAGATTTCTATGAGTTCGAGGCCAGCCTAGTTTACATAGTGTATTCCAGGACAAGCAAAGCTATATAGCAAGACTCTGTCTTAAAAAAAAAAGGAAGGAAGGAAAGACAAACGGATGGACAGGTACAGACAGACAGACAGACAAGAACTATACCAGAAAGTACTGTTCTTCACTACATCAGGGTTGGCAGTGTGACTAAGTGGTAGGGCACATGCTTAGAGGCCACAACACCCTAGATTCCATCACTAGGCTCTGCAAACCAAAAGCTTCTACCAAAGGAAACCATTTCATCACCTCTTAGCTCTTGGTGTCTTACAAATTCCAACCAGCCGGAAAGAAGGAAGACAAAAACATTGAGCCTTCCAGCCTCAGGAGGGGACGGAGTAGAGCACTGGTCAAGGTCATGGCCAGGGGCTCAGGATGACCTGCTGAGACCCAAGCACAAGGCCACAGAAGGCCTCCCCTCCTAGCAACCGT